TTTTTGCGTGAAAATAGTGAAATAGCTCACGTTTTTAATACACGCAAACCTTTGATAGATCCGGCCCTTAGTGTTTTTCAACCATTGCAGCATTTCTGGCTTGAGGTGTTTTAGGCAAGTCTACAGCAGGGGTGCAGTTTTAAGAATGATTAGCTTCTTCTTCTTGAAGATGATTGACAAAGAACTTAGGGGCTCATTAAAATCCTTACTAATTTAAGAGTTAGGCTCACACTTAGGAGCATGGGCTCCTTTCCAAGTGCTTTTACTTGTGTGTTTCTTTGCAGCTCCCTCACTCCTGGTGGGTAATTTGGTTTCTCCTTTAATTTGTTTTCTCTTCCTCAATGTAGGAAGGCCATGTTTTAGCAAGTTTGCAGTTAATGAAATGATTGTAAATTAACTGAACAATGCTCTTTAAGATCCTCCAAGACTGGTGACCTTGCTTAACGCTTGACTAATGATCTGTAACAAATGTTCACAAACAGTTGTGTTGAAAAGTGGATGAAATTACAGATTGGTGGGCTGTACTTACCAACAAGTTACTTCACAAGGGAAAGTGGTCCAATGCACCCCACATCTTACATATTTATTTGTAAAACAATTTAAAAACATGTATCCCTTCGTTTCAGCATCACAAACTTGTAAGTTTAGGCAGTGTGAATACTTTGGCAGGAAAATTGCTGATTTCTATTGTCATGCAGCAATAATATTTGTATCATTTTGAGACAAACATCAGGTGGACATTGAACTCAGCTTTATCCATCTTACATCAGCTGGTGTTTTTCTGACCTTATGTAATGCTGGATAATATTTGATGGCCTCTCTCTTTGAACTGTGTAAGTAAAAACAAGCACAAATGAGCTCTTAGTGCAGGAGATAAAGCAGTGCTGCTTTTATTTTTTATAATCTTTATAATACGTCAATAATCTCTCAGTGCAAACACTTAGTATAAAATATTGTCTTTAACAAAATTTACATTCACATAAAACATCTCCATAAATACATCTTCAACGAAAAGAACCTGACAAATATCAAAGAATTCAGAATATAGCTCAGAAATAGACAAAATGAGCAGGTCTTACCTACATATAACAACTATAACCCGTATCATATAGTATGAAAATATCCAATTTACAGAAAAAATATTATGGATAATTAATTTCCAGTAACTTCTCTTCAACTATTTTAAATAAACTTTATAAAAATCCTCATTTCAAAGCTCAAAGAAAGCATCAGAGATACTAGATATTTCATCTATGTTAAATATAAGTACAACACATCTGTCATTTAAATTTCCAAAATCAACTCTTGCCTTCTATTTAGTGAAAAAAAAACAACTGTTCAGGAACAGTTTGAATAGTAAAAATACAGGCATTCAACAAACAAAAAAAAAATCCCATGAGAACTGTAGCCACGGCTATTTAGTTGTGCTACAGCTTGACAGGAAAAGTTTGATATGTTTATGAAAATAGGTTGGCACGTTTGAAAGAAACAGCTTCCTTTTTTTTTTTAATACAGCAGGACCCCACTAAAAAACAAACTGCTTCAGCCTGATGCCTATCAATCCTGGAAAAAACACTCTCATTTAGATTCACACATCAAGCTCATAAAGAAGTTGTTTTAATAAAGCACCCTACATTCAAGAGAAACCGATAATGTTAGTGCATGCATGAGGACAATATTAAAAAAGAGCCTCTGAGTGTCTGCTGCTTGCGCTGCATCAGTGTTTCATCAAAGCATGCATGTACGAGCCACAGCCTTGCAGGCATTGCATGCTAAAACTGATTAGAGGAGAGTTAATGGCTGTGGTAAGCCGTACTGCGAATGCTATACTATAAAATAAATCGTCTGGGTTTGCATGACGAAGCCAGAACCAGAGATTTGGGTGTCTCCTCATAAACACACATTTTCTTTTTTCTACGAAACAGCTTTGTCTTTAATAAAAACAACTGAAAAGCACATTTCTACAGGAGCATATATGTCTTCGTAAATACAAAACTGTTTGCTTTGAAAAAAAAAAAGAGGCTATCACACCAAAAAATAAAACAAAAGCTCCCCAAGTCATGCTTCAATCCCACAGAGATAAAGACTGTTGTGGCTAGCTATGCACACTCTATTAGCTACAAACACTATCAGGTCAACTCAGGACCTAGCAGGCTACAGCATGCAAAAAGGGAGAACGCGATAAGACGCGTTAACGGTAGGAGACAAACTGCTTTATTGCTACACTTTGACGAGGAAGAGTCTGGAAGTCAAGCATCACAGGGAAACGGACGGCATTCACAACAAAAATGCAGCTATGGTATCATGCACTTAAAGAATTGTAATAAAAAAAAAATAACTTGTACTTTTATGGTGTTTTAGTAAGATGAACAACATCCCCGACCCGTAAGTGCCATGTCTTTTTTGAGCAATCTCTAAATCTGCTTGCACTGTCAAACATTTGGCTTTAAAAGTACACTGAGGCAGCAATAACCCTGTTAAAGTCTCTCGCCACCAAATTTCCACAAATGAACTAAAAGGCAACAGAGTCCCAAACTCTGTGTGAGTAGCAGCCTCTAAGGCAATAGCACTGACATGGTATGTACACTATAATAAACTGGTCATTTTAAAGGAACTTCTAGGTGTTAGTTGTTGTTAGATGATTGCATGCTACACTGTCAGTTTTGGAAAAGGATATTGGATCCCAGAGACTCCTTGGCCTTGGGTTGATGACGAAGCATCACGTGGCGAATGCATCCCATATCCTGACTGAGGCAAACTGCTCGAATGGAGAGGGAGAGTCGGATCAAGGTGTTGGATGGTCCCATAGCGAAAGCAGACTTGAATCCTGGGCCTCCCGCTGGAGGAGGAGAGCTTCTGCTCTTTTCTGTACTCCACTACCAGAAACACTATGATCAAGAGTAGAGGCAAGCTTTTCTCTGCTACAGCGATCCTTTTACCCATCTCCACTCTTTTTTTTTTTTTTATTCCCAAACTCTCTTTGGGATAGCATGCATTACACCACTGCTGCAGAAGCTGATGGCAGATACCTGGTAGTGCTGGTGGAGGTGGTCACTTTCGGCACGCCTGGGCTCGGGGTCCTTATGTTCGAGTAGCTGGTCACTGTTTGTGTGGGACTAAGCTTGGTGCAAACACTGCTGTGGGTAAAGGCGCTCGACCGACGCTCACTGTTGGTGTGCTGTGGCTGCTGGCTCTGAGATGGCCTGCTCCCTTTCCTGCATCCCTCCAGAAAGTATGTAAGCATCTGGCCTTTGCCCTTCACACTGACCTGACCCCGACACACAAAGTTGTAGTAGTCGGAAATGAGGCGATAGACATCCTCTGTCACCTGAAGGATGAAAATAGATGACCATTAGGTGAAAAATTAATTTTAGACTGTTGTGGGTCAATCTGAATTGCCTAATAAGCATACTGGGATCCAACAATATTATGTCCACTTGCCAAAGGGTGTTGTAGCCCATTTACATATATATAAACACACACACATATATATATATATATATATATATATATATATATATATATATATATATATATATATATATATATATATATATTTATATAAAACAATCTTTTCTTTCTTTGCTGTAACAGTATAGATGGGGGATTAACAGTAAACCGCCAGGTTAAAAAAGCAAAAAAACGTGAGAAGTCTGTAATGTTTCTGTGAAATTGTACAATGATCATTTAGAGCAAATAGTCTCTATGAGACTGAAACAAAAATGTAACGAAGTTTCATGTAATATATTGAGATAATTCTGTATATTCAGAGCTGTATATGAGGGGTTTCACCATTTTCAAGCAGAGTAGATTTTTTTACCATTTTTCCTGCTGAGTTCTGTAACTTCACTGATCAGTTTCTGGATTAATTGCAAATGCAAATTAATATTTTTATCTGCTCCCTTTAAGTCCTCTTCACTCCCGAGGGGCATGCAATTAATATGCAGTAAAATATGTTGAAAACTTTATTCTCAACCATTGTAGACATTCTTTGGATGCATTTTTTTTCAAAAGTTTAAATGCTTCAAATTATCATATTGTTACCATGATTAAACACTAATAAAAAAGTTCTTAGGGATCCTTTTGAGGGTTGTACAGGTTCGCTGTTGCTTCCAACTTGAAGCTTTTAGTAGCTAAAGAACTGGAGCTATAGTTTATAGTTCCATACCTGTATTTTTCCTTGAACTCCTGTACTGTCCATCCTGCTGGCTACATTTACTGTGTTTCCCCAGATATCATACTGAGGCCGACGGGCTCCAATCACTCCTGCCACCACGGGGCCAACGTTGATTCCTAGAGTAAAACAGGTGATAATGTCCCAAGTGTTACATATTAATACATATATACTGTATGTATTGTAATAAATAATATTTAACCCTGGTACATTACTTATTTTCCGTGTATGATCTGAATCTGATCGTGCAAGGTTTTATTTGAATATCTAATATGAAATCTTCCTTTCTTCAGAGAGAAGCAAAGAAAGTAATGAGCTATAAAAAATAATCATAGAAAACCTTCCTGAGATCTAAACCAGGAATCCAATCATGTAGGGAGTGCGATAAATTAACACTAAATATGTTAAAAAGCAAAAGCAGAAACTCTAACTAGAATTAATGGGTTAACTGATGGTGGCTGTGCAAAAACTCAGGCTGAAATTGTGAAGGTGAGAAAAACAGACTAAAGCAAAACATAGATATCTGTAAGATAAGCAGTGTTTGTTGTGACTATTTACACAGTAATAAAATAGTGCAAAAAAAAACCTGAGATGAGAATTCAGAAATTAAAGGAATGCTAAGGCAATAAAAAGAGTTAATGTTGCTTAAAAGAAGGGGGAAACCCTTCCACTTATTCAACTTTGTGTCTGCAGTATCAGTATAAACTATCATGACCCCCGACAGTATGATTTGAGAAGGAATTACAGAAGTTTATTGAAGATGAATATTGTTCTAAAAGCATAAGAATATGCTTCCCTGGTAATATTTTGCCCTGTGATGAACTGGCAACCTGTCCAGGGTGTACCCCGCCTCTTGCCTGTAGACAGCTGGACATAGGCAGCAGTACCCCTCGCGACCCAGTAGGGATAAGTGTAACTAAAAATGGATGGATATATATATATATATATATATATATATATATATGTATATATACACACACAAAAATATAATAAGTGAATCACTGAAATGAGGTGTCTTCTGTGCTCTTCAGGAAATGTTCAGTCAGATTTCTGCACCTGTGACAGGTATATTGTTCATGAGGAAGGTACTTTAATTTGTCTTGGACAGTTTGATTTTTTAGAATTATTTTTCAAACCAAAATTTAAAAGCAATATTTAATTTTACTAAATTACAATTTAGTACATTTTGTATTTATTATTCATAGTTTCATTTTTGTGTTATTTGAATTACTAGTGTGAATTTATCATTTTCTATAATGTGAGGGTATGTAAACTTTCAAGCACAGCTGTAAGTGTCTGGGGTCAGAAAATATTAAAATAGGTAGAATCAGATAAAAAACTGCCTCCCATTTTTTTTTATCAAATCTTTCCCCTCATAACAAAGAACATAAAGCTGAGTCTAGCTTTTGTCTTCTGTATTCCATTATAGGCTATATGCAGTTTTTCATGGTTAGCAAGAAGTATTTTTTTACCAACTACAAAACGGTGGTATCATATCTTTACCAATAAAAAAGCATCTCTCTTGGTTTAAAATAATGACAAAAACATGCATTTTTTTCGAATTAAATCTAATTGAATACCAAATAGTCTACAAAGATGCCAATCAATCAAATCAAGCAAAATATAAAAGCCTGACTATGCAAACAGGATAACTTTGTACACCAGCGCATAGCGGGATTAAAACAAAAAAACTCTCCACAGGATACGGAACACAATGGAACCAAGAACCTCAGTTTACAGGCTTCCTGGAGATGACGCTCTCTCTGATGTATATTCCTGGCAAACTTACTGGAATGCCCCCCCTCCAAACCAAAAGGTTAAAAGGTCTTTAATGTTCGGACCACTTAGAGGGTTATTCTCTTTACCCACCTACTCTTAAGACAAAGTCGTTGTAGGACTGATAGTTGATGGCATCAAGAACATCAAACATCTCAATGGCAAAGTCTGACACCATGCGTAAGTGTGAAGTGATGGACTTTTTTGTCTGAAAGAAAAAACACATGAAAAAGGCAAATTATCTCCAAAAACGTATCTCGCTTCTAATAAATAGGATATATGAATCAGATAAGTTTTAAATCTGCCTAAATTTCTATTCATGCACTGCAAAAACTATCTAGAAATAAGTAAAAAGGCCTTAAATAAAGTGTATTTACCCTTAATTTGAGCAGATAAATAAGAAGATTTGCCAATGGAATGAGATTTTTTTATACTTAAAATAAGATCAATAGATAATATGCATTTGAAATAAGCTAATATAATTGTTATTTTTTTTAATTTTTAATGTAAATCGTCTTGTTCCATTGGCAAAGGGACTCAATTACCTCGTCAATTCAAGACAAAATGCACTTACTTTAAGAAAAAATGACTTATTTAGATTTATCTTTTTTGCAGTGTGTTCTTGCCAAAAGTTTGAATTTCTCTATATTTCAATGTGTTTCATTATATTCCCTGTTTTTATGATGGTTGTTCAAAGTTGTTTGGGGTTTTTTGTTTTAACATTGTTTACTTTTTCATAAAATACCTTCACTAAAGCCTGTTTAATAAAAAACATAGTTGACAAAAGAGGAAGTCTTAAGCCTCTAAAAGACTATGTTCAAGACTGACTGAATGTCATTTCTTCAAGACTGAACATAATGTCCTGTAAATTTAAAATAAATAAATCAAACAGACTTTACAAAGGCATAATAGACGTATCATCTTTGGATGCATTACCCAGTTTTACCTCACTATTATTGTAAAGCTGCGACATCCTAGTACTGATTTTAGGTAACGGAGTGTTCTGTTTGACAACTAGGAATAACGACAAAGAAAACATTTCTCTATGTATTAAATAAAAATTCAGCTGTCTTGAAAATACAATGCTTTAGTGAAATAAAACCGGGTTAGCATGTCCTGTCTTCACTTTAATCCTTATATAAATTTATCACAGTTTAGGATTTTGTTGTTGCACATTTAAAAAACCCAATTAATTTCCTTTCTTAAAAGCATATTTCAAAATAGCCCTTGAATCTAACTGATTTTCTTTAGAGAAAAACATTCTGATGTTCAGTTGTAAACTGCATTGGTCAAATATTCAACAATCTATTGTAGTTGTTTAGGAAACTTTCAGGACCTTTATCTGTAAATGATCCATAATTATTATAAGCAGAGGCACTTTACACTATGTACAAGAGAGTAGTCTCTGTTAGACAAGTTTTTTTGTTTAACTGGATTTAACATGAAAGAAAACAACAAACGATTACAGACTTTGCAACTTTTAAATGTGTCCCTTGCCCTAAACGCCGGAAATAAATGGCTAACTAAACTAGCTCCCTAGCAGAAGTCCAGCAGTTTTCCAAAAGAGCATATTTTGGAGTCAGGTGTGTAGAAATAGAAACATATCTAACAATTGCAAGATGTCGACTCTTGAGAATTGGAGTTTGAGAGCACTGCTTTAACTGTCTTTAGCATCCTATACTAAAAAATTGACAAAATAGCATGGTTAACTGTACTGATGACCAGAGATGGCAAAAGTACTCACTTTCCGTACTTG